GGGATATTGATAATAACTGCAAGAACAACAACAAAAAAACAGTTTGTTAAGAATAATCATAATGACAGTAACTATAAGAACAATGATATAGATGATAATGACAATATTAGTATTAATAATGGCAAGAGCAGTAGGTGACAACAGGTGGCAACACTGGAGGTACGGTTCATCAGGCAGTGTCCCTTCTATGTAAAGCGGTCCTTTTTATGCTCTCTGACACTGTGGCTCACTGAGTATCCTGAGATTTCGCCACAGAGAGTACACCCTGCAAATGGCAATGCAGCATGGCACACACACAAGTCCAAATGAAACCAGCAGACTCATGCACCGGAGTGATTTCTCTTCTTGCTTGCTTGTTAGATTTCTTGGCAATCGACCAGTGGCACTAGTGACTTAACCAAGGTTTCATATATCCATTTCTCTTCCCAAAACCAGGGGTACTTACACTCCGAAAGAGACTCCGGATGATGCCCCAGGCAGGAAATGTACAGATGAGAGTACCAGAAGATCCACCCGATAGTTTAACAATCGAAAGGACCCAAACGGAAGGAGAAATGTTGGAGATTAACGTGCTCACACTCTGGATAAAAATGCTTACGGGGTTAGGACGCCAACTGAGGAGTGACTGTATGTTTTAAGAAAGAAGAAAGTAAGAAGATAATATATCATCTATACATCATATCATAGAAAGATATTATATTTCTCGAATCACAATATAATTTGGAAAAAAACAAGGTACAACTCTTTTCCCATAAGTTATCCCAGCCAATCAGAACGTGTTTAGCCCATCCGTGAGTTCTGATTGGCTAGCGAAATAAGCCAAAACATTCAAGCAATCTAAGCAACGAAACAAACTCCCTTTTTTTATTCTTTCTTTCTTATCATTCCACTTGACAGGAAAATATGACCAGATGACAGAATTAATCATCCCTCGGGAAATAAGCCTAAAGAGCCCGAGAAAACGACATTTCGGCTTGAGGAGTCAAAACACAGGTGTCGTAGGGGAAGTCACCGTGTATAGTGAGTGTTGAGTGTTGAGTGAGTGTTGTACGTTTGATTTACATGGATTTTGTGTTTCATTACTGAATGTCACCCCGCTAGGAGATGGAAACAACCAAGAGAAAAGAAAAGAAAAAAATGTATATATATATATTCCTGATGCCATGTCCATTGTTGGACATGGTATGATAAGGTGATCATGTGTTCTCATTCGGCCTTGAAAAGTCCACTGTTGGACATGGCGCCTTCATTCTCTTCAATGAAGGAGCTTGGGGGTCTCACTATCTTCGGGCGAATTGGACGGGGGCAACCACTCGGGACTCCTGGCTTTCCGTTTCCTTTTCAGGGGCAACCTGGGTTTCCTGGCTTTCCGTTTTAATCACATAGTACTGCTGGATTTCTGGACCTGTTCCCTTTCTCCTGGCTTTCCGTTTCCTCTTCAGGGGCAACCTGTTCGATCTCCTGGCTTTCTTTTTCCTCTTCAGGGGCAACCTGTTCGATCTCCTGGCTTTCTTTTTCCTCTTCAGGGGCAACCTGTTCGATCTCCTGGCTTTCTTTTTCCTCTTCAGGGGCGACCTCTTCGATTTCCTGGCTTTCCGTTTCTTCTTCAGGGTGACAGGGCCAACCCTTTTGATCTCCTGGCTTTCCTTTTCCTCTTCAGGGGCAACCTTTTCGATCCGGCTTTCCGTTTCCTTTTCAGGGGCAACCTGGGTTTCCTGGCTTTCCGTTTCAATCACATAGTACTGCTGGATTTCCGGACCTCCCGTTTCCTCTTTAGGGGGAACCTGTTGGGTCACCTGGCTTCCCGTTTCCTTTTCAGGGGCAACCTGGGTTTCCTAGTTTTCCGTTTGAATCAGCTCGAGTTCCAGCCCTACCGTTTCCTCTTCAGGGGTGTCGGGGGTAACCATTCGGGTCTCCTGGCTTTCCTTTTCCTCTTCAGGGGCAACCTTTTCGATCTCCTGGCTTTCCGTTTCCTCTTCAGGGGTGACGGGAGTAACCATTCGGGTCACCTGGCTTTCCTTTTCCTCTTCAGGGGTGACGGGGGCAACCTCTTGGGTCTATTATCGGGCAAATTGGACTGGGGCAACCGTTTGGGTCTCCTGGCTTTCCGTTTCCTTTTCAGGGGCAACCTGGGTTTCCTGGCTTTCCGTTTCAATCACATAGTACTGCTGGATTTCCGGACCTCCCGTTTCCTCTTTAGGGGGAACCTGTTGGGTCACCTTGCTTTCCGTTTCCTTTTCAGGGGCAACCTGGGTTTCTTGGCTTTCCGTTTTCAGGGGCAACCTGGGTTTCCTGGCTTTCCGTTTCCTGTATAGTGAGTGTTGAGTGTTGAGTGAGTGTTGTACGTTTGATTTACATGGATTTTGTGTTTCATTATTGAATGTCACCCCGCTAGGAGATGGAAACAACCAAGAGAAAAGAAAAGAAAAAAATGTATATATATATATTCCTGATGCCATGTCCATTGTTGGACATGGTATGATAAGGTGATCATGTGTTCTCATTCGGCCTTGAAAAGTCCACTGTTGGACATGGCGCCTTCATTCTCTTCAATGAAGGAGCTTGGGGGTCTCACTATCTTCGGGCGAATTGGACGGGGGCAACCACTCGGGACTCCTGGCTTTCCGTTTCCTTTTCAGGGGCAACCTGGGTTTCCTGGCTTTCCGTTTTAATCACATAGTACTGCTGGATTTCTGGACCTGTTCCCTTTCTCCTGGCTTTCCGTTTCCTCTTCAGGGGCAACCTGTTCGATCTCCTGGCTTTCTTTTTCCTCTTCAGGGGCAACCTGTTCGATCTCCTGGCTTTCTTTTTCCCCTTCAGGGGCAACCTGTTCGATCTCCTGGCTTTCTTTTTCCTCTTCAGGGGCAACCTGTTCGATCTCCTGGCTTTCTTTTTCCTCTTCAGGGGCGACCTCTTCGATTTCCTGGCTTTCCGTTTCTTCTTCAGGGTGACAGGGCCAACCTTTTTGATCTCCTGGCTTTCCTTTTCCTCTTCAGGGGCAACCTTTTCGATCTCCTGGCTTTCCGTTTCCTCTTCAGGGGTGACGGGGGTAACCATTCGGGTCTCCTGGCTTTCCTTTTCCTCTTCAGGGGCAACCTGGGTTTCCTGGCTTTCCGTTTCCTTTTCAGGGGCAACCTGGGATTCCTGGCTTTCCTTTTCCTCTTCAGGGGTGACGGGGGTATTATCGGGCAAATTGGACTGGGGCAACCGTTTGGGTCTCCTGGCTTTCCGTTTCCTTTTCAGGGGCAACCTGGGTTTCCTGGCTTTCCGTTTCAATCACATAGTACTGCTGGATTTCCGGACCTCCCGTTTCCTCTTTAGGGGGAACCTGTTGGGTCACCTGGCTTCCCGTTTCCTTTTCAGGGGCAACCTGGGTTTCCTAGTTTTCCGTTTGAATCAGCTCGAGTTCCAGCCCTACCGTTTCCTCTTCAGGGGTGTCGGGGGTAACCATTCGGGTCTCCTGGCTTTCCTTTTCCTCTTCAGGGGCAACCTTTTCGATCTCCTGGCTTTCCGTTTCCTCTTCAGGGGTGACGGGGGTAACCATTCGGGTCTCCTGGCTTTCCTTTTCCTCTTCAGGGGCAACCTTTTTGATCTCCTGGCTTTCCGTTTCCTCTTCAGGGGTGACGGGGGTAACCATTCGGGTCACCTGGCTTTCCTTTTCCTCTTCAGGGGTGACGGGGGCAACCTCTTGGGTCTATTATCGGGCAAATTGGACTGGGGCAACCGTTTGGGTCTCCTGGCTTTCCGTTTCCTTTTCAGGGGCAACCTGGGTTTCCTGGCTTTCCGTTTCAATCACATAGTACTGCTGGATTTCCGGACCTCCCGTTTCCTCTTTAGGGGGAACCTGTTGGGTCACCTTGCTTTCCGTTTCCTTTTCAGGGGCAACCTGGGTTTCTTGGCTTTCCGTTTTCAGGGGCAACCTGGGTTTCCTGGCTTTCCGTTTCCTCTTTAGGGGCAACCTGCGTTTCCTGGCATTCCGTTTCCTCATTCGGAACAACTCTTCGTGGCTCCTGGCTTTCCGTTAACGCTTCGGGGTGACGGGGGTATAGATTCGGGTCACCTGGCTTTTCTTTTCCTTTTCAGGGGCAACCTGGGTTTCCTGGCTTTCCTTTTCCTTTTCAGGGGCAACCTGGGTTTCCTGGCTTTCCTTTTCCTTTTCAGGGGCAACCTGGGTTTCCTGGGTTTCCGTTTGAATCACCTCGAGTTCCAGCCCTACCGTTTCCCCTTGGGTCTCCTGGCTTTCCGTTTCCTCTTCAGGGGTGACGGGGGCTACCATTCGGGTCTCCTGGCTTTCCGTTTCCTCTTCGGGGGTGACGGGGGCTACCTCTTCGATCTCCTGGCTTTCCGTTTCCGCTTCGGGGGTGACGGGGGCTACCTCTTCGATCTCCTGGCTTTCCGTTTCCTCTTCAGGGGTGACGGGGGCTGCCTCTTCGATCTCCTGGCTTTCCGTTTCCTCTTCGGGGGTGACGGGGGCTACCTCTTCGATCTCCTGGCTTTCCGTTTCCGCTTCGGGGGTGACGGGGGCTACCTCTTCGATCTCCTGGCTTTCCGTTTCCGCTTCGGGGGTGACGGGGGCTACCTCTTCGATCTCCTGGCTTTCCATTTCCGCTTCGGGGGTGACGGGGGCTACCTCTTCGATCTCCTGGCTTTCCGTTTCCTCTTCAGGGGTGACGGGGGCTACCTCTTCGATCTCCTGGCTTTCCGTTTCCGCTTCGGGGGTGACGGGGGCTACCTCTTCGATCTCCTGGCTTTCCGTTTCCGCTTCAGGGGTGACGGGGGCTACCTCTTCGATCTCCTGGCTTTCCGTTTCCTCTTCAGGGGTGACGGGGGCTGCCTCTTCGATCTCCTGGCTTTCCGTTCAGGGGTGACGGGGGCTACCTCTTCGATCTCCTGGCTTTCTGTTTCCGCTTCGGGGGTGACGGGGGCTACCTCTTCGATCTCCTGGCTTGTATATATATATATTCCTGATGCCATGTCCATTGTTGGACATGGTATGATAAGGTGATCATGTGTTCTCATTCGGCCTTGAAAAGTCCACTGTTGGACATGGCGCCTTCATTCTCTTCAATGAAGGAGCTTGGGGGTCTCACTATCTTCGGGCGAATTGGACGGGGGCAACCACTCGGGACTCCTGGCTTTCCGTTTCCTTTTCAGGGGCAACCTGGGTTTCCTGGCTTTCCGTTTTAATCACATAGTACTGCTGGATTTCTGGACCTGTTCCCTTTCTCCTGGCTTTCCGTTTCCTCTTCAGGGGCAACCTGTTCGATCTCCTGGCTTTCTTTTTCCTCTTCAGGGGCAACCTGTTCGATCTCCTGGCTTTCTTTTTCCCCTTCAGGGGCAACCTGTTCGATCTCCTGGCTTTCTTTTTCCTCTTCAGGGGCAACCTGTTCGATCTCCTGGCTTTCTTTTTCCTCTTCAGGGGCGACCTCTTCGATTTCCTGGCTTTCCGTTTCTTCTTCAGGGTGACAGGGCCAACCTTTTTGATCTCCTGGCTTTCCTTTTCCTCTTCAGGGGCAACCTTTTCGATCTCCTGGCTTTCCGTTTCCTCTTCAGGGGTGACGGGGGTAACCATTCGGGTCTCCTGGCTTTCCTTTTCCTCTTCAGGGGCAACCTGGGTTTCCTGGCTTTCCGTTTCCTTTTCAGGGGCAACCTGGGATTCCTGGCTTTCCTTTTCCTCTTCAGGGGTGACGGGGGCAACCTCTTGGGTCTATTATCGGGCAAATTGGACTGGGGCAACCGTTTGGGTCTCCTGGCTTTCCGTTTCCTTTTCAGGGGCAACCTGGGTTTCCTGGCTTTCCGTTTCAATCACATAGTACTGCTGGATTTCCGGACCTCCCGTTTCCTCTTTAGGGGGAACCTGTTGGGTCACCTGGCTTCCCGTTTCCTTTTCAGGGGCAACCTGGGTTTCCAAGTTTTCCGTTTGAATCAGCTCGAGTTCCAGCCCTACCGTTTCCTCTTCAGGGGTGTCGGGGGTAACCATTCGGGTCTCCTGGCTTTCCTTTTCCTCTTCAGGGGCAACCTTTTCGATCTCCTGGCTTTCCGTTTCCTCTTCAGGGGTGACGGGAGTAACCATTCGGGTCACCTGGCTTTCCTTTTCCTCTTCAGGGGTGACGGGGGCAACCTCTTGGGTCTATTATCGGGCAAATTGGACTGGGGCAACCGTTTGGGTCTCCTGGCTTTCCGTTTCCTTTTCAGGGGCAACCTGGGTTTCCTGGCTTTCCGTTTCAATCACATAGTACTGCTGGATTTCCGGACCTCCCGTTTCCTCTTTAGGGGGAACCTGTTGGGTCACCTGGCTTCCCGTTTCCTTTTCAGGGGCAACCTGGGTTTCCAAGTTTTCCGTTTGAATCAGCTCGAGTTCCAGCCCTACCGTTTCCTCTTCAGGGGTGTCGGGGGTAACCATTCGGGTCTCCTGGCTTTCCTTTTCCTCTTCAGGGGCAACCTTTTCGATCTCCTGGCTTTCCGTTTCCTCTTCAGGGGTGACGGGGGTAACCATTCGGGTCACCTGGCTTTCCTTTTCCTCTTCAGGGGTGACGGGGGCAACCTCTTGGGTCTATTATCGGGCAAATTGGCCTGGGGCAACCGTTTGGGTCTCCTGGCTTTCCGTTTCCTTTTCAGGGGCAACCTGGGTTTCCTGGCTTTCCGTTTCAATCACATAGTACTGCTGGATTTCCGGACCTCCCGTTTCCTCTTTAGGGGGAACCTGTTGGGTCACCTGGCTTCCCGTTTCCTTTTCAGGGGCAACCTGGGTTTCCAAGTTTTCCGTTTGAATCAGCTCGAGTTCCAGCCCTACCGTTTCCTCTTCAGGGGTGTCGGGGGTAACCATTCGGGTCTCCTGGCTTTCCTTTTCCTCTTCAGGGGCAACCTTTTCGATCTCCTGGCTTTCCGTTTCCTCTTCAGGGGTGACGGGGGTAACCATTCGGGTCACCTGGCTTTCCTTTTCCTCTTCAGGGGTGACGGGGGCAACCTCTTGGGTCTATTATCGGGCAAATTGGACTGGGGCAACCGTTTGGGTCTCCTGGCTTTCCGTTTCCTTTTCAGGGGCAACCTGGGTTTCCTGGCTTTCCGTTTCAATCACATAGTACTGCTGGATTTCCGGACCTCCCGTTTCCTCTTTAGGGGGAACCTGTTGGGTCACCTTGCTTTCCGTTTCCTTTTCAGGGGCAACCTGGGTTTCTTGGCTTTCCGTTTTCAGGGGCAACCTGGGTTTCCTGGCTTTCCGTTTCCTCTTTAGGGGCAACCTGCGTTTCCTGGCATTCCGTTTCCTCATTCGGAACAACTCTTCGTGGCTCCTGGCTTTCCGTTAACGCTTCGGGGTGACGGGGGTATAGATTCGGGTCACCTGGCTTTTCTTTTCCTTTTCAGGGGCAACCTGGGTTTCCTGGCTTTCCTTTTCCTTTTCAGGGGCAACCTGGGTTTCCTGGCTTTCCTTTTCCTTTTCAGGGGCAACCTGGGTTTCCTGGGTTTCCGTTTGAATCACCTCGAGTTCCAGCCCTACCGTTTCCCCTTGGGTCTCCTGGCTTTCCGTTTCCTCTTCAGGGGTGACGGGGGCTACCATTCGGGTCTCCTGGCTTTCCGTTTCCTCTTCGGGGGTGACGGGGGCTACCTCTTCGATCTCCTGGCTTTCCGTTTCCTCTTCGGGGGTGACGGGGGCTACCTCTTCGATCTCCTGGCTTTCCGTTTCCTCTTCAGGGGTGACGGGGGCTACCTCTTCGATCTCCTGGCTTTCCGTTTCCTCTTCGGGGGTGACGGGGGCTACCTCTTCGATCTCCTGGCTTTCCGTTTCCGCTTCGGGGGTGACGGGGGCTACCTCTTCGATCTCCTGGCTTTCCGTTTCCGCTTCGGGGGTGACGGGGGCTACCTCTTCGATCTCCTGGCTTTCCGTTTCCGCTTCGGGGGTGACGGGGGCTACCTCTTCGATCTCCTGGCTTTCCGTTTCCGCTTCGGGGGTGACGGGGGCTACCTCTTCGATCTCCTGGCTTTCCGTTTCCGCTTCGGGGGTGACGGGGGCTACCTCTTCGATCTCCTGGCTTTCCGTTTCCGCTTCGGGGGTGACGGGGGCTACCTCTTCGATCTCCTGGCTTTCCGTTTCCGCTTCGGGGGTGACGGGGGCTACCTCTTCGATCTCCTGGCTTTCCGTTTCCTCTTCAGGGGTGACGGGGGCTACCTCTTCGATCTCCTGGCTTTCCGTTTCCTCTTCAGGGGTGACGGGGGCTACCTCTTCGATCTCCTGGCTTTCCGTTTCCTCTTCAGGGGTGACGGGGGCTACCTCTTCGATCTCCTGGCTTTCCGTTTCCTCTTCAGGGGTGACGGGAGCAACCTCTTCGATCTCCTGGCTTTCCGTTTCCTTTTCAGGGGCAACCTGGGTTTCCTGGCTTTCCGTTTCAATCACATACTACTGCTGGATTTCTTTACTTTTTTCCTGGCTCTTGGCTTTCCGTTTCGATTTCGATTTCCTGGCTTTCCGTTTCTTCTTCAGGGTGACGGGGCGAACCTCTTCGATCTCCTGGCTTTCCGTTTCCTCTTCAGGGGTGACGGGGGCTACCTCTTCGATCTCCTGGCTTTCCGTTTCCTCTTCAGGGGTGACGGGGGCTACCTCTTCGATCTCCTGGCTTTCCGTTTCCGCTTCGGGGGTGACGGGAGCAACCTCTTCAGGGGTGACGGGGGCTACCTCTTCGATCTCCTGGCTTTCCGTTTCCTCTTCAGGGGTGACGGGGGCTACCTCTTTGATCACCTGGCTTTCCGTTTCCTCTCCAGGGGTGACGGGGGCTACCTCTTGGATCATCTGGCTATTAACAACTTTGAGCATATTATGCGTGACTTCTTAAAATTACCTTACTTTTTCCTTTCTCAGGTTAGTGAGTTTGAGGATATCACATATAATACTTTACAATTCTCTTTCATACTGTGCTTTGAGATCCTGGGTCTCCTTGTCGACGGGTTTCATAGCTGTGGGAGTGGAGACTGTTTAGCCCCACGGGGTTTCCATTTCAATCCCATAGAACTACTTGGTATACGGAACTTCCATCTTCTTTCCAGTGAAGGCAGCAGAGGCGGAGTCGATGGCTGACATGAAAGTATCAGCGGTGTCATTGGTGGCCTAAGCATTTCGTGTTTTTATTAGTGACTTCCTAAAATTGTCGTTCTGACAATGGGAAAAACTGTTTAAGTTTATTATACAGAACAATGATATAAACACGACAAAATATTTGGAAATTTGCATTTTTAATAATTAATTTTTATGGTTCGGTAGATTATGACAGCAGTAATGAGGTT